AGCAAGCAGCACGAATGACCCAATGCGTCAAACATACGCGCAACGTTTTTCCAACACTTACGGACGCAGCAGAAGCCACATCCAAGCATTTGCACACTTTTGCCTTACGGCTACAAGGCAAGCTTGCTCTCTTACGAATTTTCAGTTTCATAGCTACCACGACGGAGCCCAGCTCAAAGCCACAAGAATCTTGCTGACACGACTGGGCCTTTCTCCGCAGCGACACATGCTCCAGCATTTTCATGCCAGCAGTGTGGTCTACATACGCCTCAGCATGGACAGACGTTTTTTTGCAGTCCGATACATCGGGCGCGCCGCACAGAACATGCAATCTCATGAAGCCAGCCGCAACCGCAAGCACAGGCAAGCGCAAGACAACAAGCTAGTTCACGCTGAACTGGCTATCAGATGGTGGCACAAACACAACAACTACCACCTCTTCATACTTTTCACAGTACAACACTCCATACCACCAGAACAGCTCGAAGCCGTGGAAGCCACACCCGTACAAAACGCCCAGGCTCAATCACCCCCACATCGCACCGTTGACGAGGAGGTCACTCAAACACATTCACAGGCAGGGCAAAAGCAGAGCAACAGGGTTCAGAAGCATCTGGGCCAAAATACGCAGGAAGCATCTTCCACCCAGCATGAGAGACATTTACCAGTGTTCCACCTTCACAACCCAGACCCAAACATGGGCTCTACTGCGCGACCTTTCAACAATCACCAAGCGCAGATTCGATCGGACACGGCAGCTTCTCCGAAGTTCAACCAGCAACACATCCATGTACGCACTGTGCAGGATGGCACTCAACATGCCAAGCATCCACAAGCAGAACGGCACAAAGGCAACACATGTGGCCATGAAGAAGCGCCGGCTTGTCAAGCCACCACGCAACAGCCCATTTATCACCACGCCACTTTTACACCCCACCTATAAACAGCAACCACGAGCTTTTCTCAAACAGCGGCTAACTCTACACCACCGTCGCCGTTCTTCACACCATCCGCCCGCATTGTTTTCACACGACATCCTTCCATGAAGGACATGCTCCTCAATTGGCGGAAGGTGCACGCACAGTGGACACCACAGGCAGCAGCGCAATGCAATTGCAAAGAGCTTGCCTAGCAGTTCCCAGACCACACCTTTGACGGACATGTGGCCATCGCTCTCAGCCACGTCAGACGACAACACCAATGTCTGAATTTTTCAGGCAAATCCCACGTGCTGCCAGATGAAAAAAGATTGATGCAGCAACTTAAGCAAGCCATAAACGAAGCGCGCAAGAAACACGGCTTGGCACCGCCCAGCGACATGGACACAGATGTCAATCAATTCATCCAACAACAGCACCAGCAACACTGTCAAGCCGCCGCAAATCGGCTCAACATCCACATGATTAAAGCACTACAGCAATGGGTTCCCCGAGGAGTGATCCATTGCGAGGATCACCACCCAGACCGACTCATTTGGTTTTGCCCTTTCCTTTACACCGACTGCATCACCAACACCTTCACCAACCCAACTGTTTTCGAAGTGTCGATTTCTCCGCCATTGGCCTTGCACGAAGCAACGTACGGAAAGGCGCTGCGACTGCGTCCGGATCACAGATGGGCATCACACAATTGGGGACGAATGCCCAACGCATATGTGCTTCCCAAAAGGGAGAAGAAGTTTCAGACAGCAAGACCCACTGTGTCCTTCATAGGGGCAATGGGCAGATCGCTATGGGAAGCTTTTGCCGACACCTTGCAGCTGCTGACAAGACATGCTCTGGGACACGGAAACGGCACACAGCAACTGCAACAGGTGAAGCAATTTGTTCAACATCTTGCCATTCAGGATGAGCAGCACCACCCATACGGAGATGATCACATCTGCGTCAACCAGGACCCACACCCATCAGTCCAGAAGGTTTCTGGACTCGTACGCCTTGCTTTTGCAGTGGTACCAACAGGCCAACCACAAACACGCCACATCTATCTCGATTGTTCACGCTGATGCCCTGCCAGAGGCCAGGGTCCACAGAGGCAGACAAAGGTATACATTGCAGACCACAACCTCACAACCGAGAAAGCGGATTCCCCAACATGATCAGAGCCATTTTAGCTCTGAACTACTTCACGGTGGGGAAGTTTGTCATCAAACAGAAGAAGGGGGCCGTGGGATCCCCCGCCTCGGCTGCGCTCTGCTCGATGGTAATAGCAGTACGTGAGCAAACTTGGTTCCGCACATACAGACAGATCATCTACAACTACAAGAGCCTGCAAGAAACCAGCAGCAACAGCTGCGCGGGATTTTTCTGCACCAGATACGACGACAACAGGCTGCTGATCATGCCCACGAGATTCCTCCAGCTACCCCCCTTGCAACAATTCGTCCACGACCAGGTCTACATGTCACCAGTAGAACTTGAGCACGAACCTGGATTGGATTTCCTGGGGTTCGAGTTGGATCCACGCCCTGTGCAATAAGATACACAAGGCAGCTGCAGCTCAACGAGATTCCGTCACCGCAGGCAGCCACCACCAGCACAGTACTACACAGCGGTTTTCAAGCGTGCCTTAGATTGCGCATCATGTGCACCCCCATGGCGGCAGTGAGAGACGCGGAATCTGCGCTGAAGCATAGATACACACATGCCTGCAAAGCGTAGCCGACATGTTTTGCAAGTTCCATGTCTGTGATTGCTTGCACTGTGCAACCCAGCATCTTGCACACAGCTACATGCACCATCGTATGTTCTGTTCCTGCAGCTTTGGTTTTTCCAGTTGAGGGCCAGTCAATCATGCATTACATGACGGGCCCAGACCGTGAAACGCCGGAGCAACTTCAGCGTCGACTCCGCACAAACACCCAGGGCTTGCCGCCCATTGCGGAGACCCGCAACTGGGCCATATCCTTCTCGGAGTATCAGCTCCAAACATGGTCAGTGGAACCACAACTACATCAAGACATTTTATTGGAGTTCACAACCAAACTCCAACTTCTACAGTCCGATCAGCTCATTCCAGACTTTGGGGTGAATGGCAAATGTGTTTGGAAGATGCCCTGGGCATCACATGGCCAGAAGTCAGGAGATTTTGAAGGAAAAGTTCAACATCGTCGACACTGAGGTCCTCAGCACCTCCGAGGAAGAAAGCAGCTGAGCAGCCCCGGGTAGTTCCCATCAGTTTTATCTAGTGATTTTTGCGGCAAACAAGTTTCTGACAAGCTACGTCGCCTTCACTCCAAAACAAAAGGATGCCGCGCCCCGACAGGGGCTGCATGTGTGTGTACCATCCTAATCCATGGGCGCAAAGGTTCACACTCGAATTTTCCATGCAAGGTTTTTCATACATGTCAACGTGTTGTTTACATGAACAGTGCAGTGCAGGGGGCAGTGGCCTACTCAAGAGACCACTGCCAACGAAGCTGCTCTTGAGTTGGGAGCATATCCAAGCTGTTCACCTGGACGTACCTGCAACAGGTCAGGCCCCTGTGCTGACCAGATTAGAAAAGCCAGGCCCCTGAGCTGGCAGATTAGAGCAAACAGTTTTCCACAGATACAACTTGGAGCATGCATTAGGCCTTGGGTTTGCAATCCAGTGCATGAGTTTTGGACATGTTGCTTCATCAGTTGCAATCTGTGCATGAGTGCCATGAGCCATGACAATGTTGCAGCATCCACATGCTTGATCAACATGTCAGTGCCGAGTTTTCCGCATTGGAAAACAGCAAATAGTTTGATTTGGGAGTTTGGGCAAGCAGGAGCACCTACTTCAGAGCAAAAATGTTCATGACATTGAGCTTCCTCACATTTCCAAATTTTCAAAACCAGTCAAAGTGTGTGTGTGTGTGTGTGTTTGAAAGTGTATGTGTGTGTGTGCGCGTGCGCGCAGCTGCTATAAGCAATACAACCCTTACGTAAAATTCAAGCGTACCTCGTTCTCGCAAACACCCGGGAAACGCAACGAAAGCCGGTCATTCTTCTCTGTCCATCCGCGCCCCCTTCCCCCTCTTGCAGGCCAGCGGACCGCCGTCTCCGTGCAGCTCCATCCTGGGCATATGAGCTATAGCCTAAACTCCTTAAAGGGGGTTATATAGGGGAGTATATAGGGTAATACTATAGGGGTTATTAAGGGGGATACTAGGAGTTTAGACAATGGCTCGTTTGGGAAGTGGGTTTATTTGGGAAGTGGGTTTTAGGGTTTAGAGTTTAGGGTTTGGATACTCATAAGACTGGCAGGCAAGGGTGCCATCTTCTAGAGTCAGAGGTTAACAGGATATACCAGAAGATCAAAAGCAGGCAAGCATCAGCTTGGTGATATCAAACTTGGGCTTCTTCAGGATCTTCACCTGTAGGCACCAGCCACACTCTTGAGCAGTTGGTTAATATAAAATAGTCTGAAGCTACACAGACGGTGAGTGTCCGCAAGACCAAGGATTTCGCGCAAAACTCCTGAGAAAAAATGTCAGCTGTGCGCATTGAACTCCAGTACGTTCAGCACAAAGCACAAGCAACTTGCGAAGCGTCGGGCCTTGCGGATAAGGCAATCCTGCTGGTGCTCTGCGTCTCACGATTGGTCCAAGTTTCAAGTTGAAGCGCGTTGAAGGGTGGAAGGCCAGGCTTTCACTAAAGAGCTTCTGCTCAGCACGAGCGAGAGCGGAAACTGTTTCGAATCGTTACGAGCAGTAGCTTCAGTGTTGTTCTTCTGGCCTCGTGATCTCAAAGACGTCGAAATGAGCATCATCGCAACAGGAAAGAAGTACCCAAACTTAACTTGAACCCGCAATAGAAACAGGGAATGATTCGCTTAGTCCTTGAGAGGGAAGATGCCCTGGCACTGCTTCTCGATCTCCTTGACGACAGGACACGTCCACACCCGACTCCAACATTCAAATCTAATCCCTTCAGAGCACTTCAGGCTAAGCCTTGCCGTTGTTGCTTCCCTCCCCTTGATTCTGGGTCTCGTCATCATGATGCTCTTGCAAATGCTGTAGCCATGGCATCCGTTTACAAAATACCGGCCTTGCCAATGGACTCCGGGATCAGCTTCTTCACCAATTCCCTAAGCTGCACCTGCCATCACGGGGACTGCAGAAAGGTCAGTCGTAGGTCAAGTTTGCCTACACTCATACATCTGAGGATGACAAAGCCTGAGGCCTAGGGCCCCATAGACCACGCATGGAAGCGGAATGACCCCTGTGACATACCTTCGTCATATTTCGCCATCTGACAAAGGACACACCGGGCAGGCTGCCTGTGGAGCTCTTTAGGGACATTCAGGCAGCTTAAGTTTTTGGACTGCAGCAAGCACGCCCTGCCTTGCTGGCTTCCTGCAACGCAACAAGAGCAATATTGGGGCAAACAAGCGACCTTGCGTATTTGAAAGAATTTGGGTCGAGCGGTTTCTGATTACAGCGTCCTGTGTCATGATGTCGGTCATCTTCTTCCGGATCTTGCGGATCTGCGCAGACCTAGCCAAAGCAAAAAGGTAGGATTTCCCCAACATGCTGTTTACTGCCGCTAGGGATGGGCTGGATCTTTAGTTCGAAGGAGGTGGCACTAATCATACCGTCCTGTCAGCGGATCTCGCTGTCATGATGGATACCGCTAACCTCAAGTTGAAGCATGCAGCTTCGATGCCCTGAGGCCCCGACTGAGCATAGCAATTGGCCTTGACCTGCGCTTTGCTTGTCAATAATCACTACATTAAAAATCAAGAAGAAGAGAAAAAAAAAAAAAAAAAAAA